CCTCCCCCCTCCCGATCTACTAATAGCAGCCTCCCTATAAATCGCATTCTGCTATGAACTTGGCACTGATCCACACGGTCAAAATTCATCCCATATGTACAGTGAAGCTGAAATTTCTAAGGATGGACTGAACATTAAAAACCCTGACGATCAAATCATCAAACAATTAGACCCGTCAGCAATTTTATCCATCAATCGACCTAAATTCAAATTTAACATATGTATAAAATATATTTCCAATATGTAGATGTGATGCATTGGTTCAAACTGTGAAGTAAGGCAAAGTGGACCCTACATTCAGATTGAAAATTCATCGTGAAGTATTGGACAGTTCAGGGGCTGATAAGTGATAACATTTTTGAAGGTATCCTTCTGCTACAATCAATTGCTTTGATCCATCTGTTTTATTACCAAAAAAAAAAAAGGGAAAAGCAAAAAATTCCTAGATACCCCTTCTTTTTTTCTCTCTTTTATTGTTGGCAACCCAAATGAAATGGGTAATAGAAAGTTAAGTGCAGTGCCATTGTGCCAAGTGGTGGGCCGATGGGTTGTGGCTTGAGTGGTGGTGGGGTTCACGTTAGCGTTGCAAATGCATGTGAAGTTAACTGACAGTCCCAAGTGGTGTCGGCGCTTGTACGCTGTACGCACCCCCCTCGGCCTTCCCTCCGTCCCTTAATCCCAAGTACGCAACTCTTCCCTTTTCATATTTCTCGTGATCACCTCCTCTCTCTCTCTCTCTAATCCATACACACACAGGTCTCTTTCTCTCTAAAGCCAACTCTCAATTCTTTAATTTATTAAATTCTACTAACTGAACCTCAGCCTTTATGTATATATACCACCAAATCCAAACGACGTTGTATTAAACAACGAAACAAAGCAACAAAAACAGAGGAGGGGAAGAAGAAGGAGAATAAGCAAAACCAAAAGAGTCGAGTGAGAGAGCAGCATCCTACCCCATTAAGATGAGGTTCTCCTTTCCGTCTCTTGGCTACCATAATCTTCTTCTCTTTCTTCTTGTTCTTGTCCTTTTTCTGGGATCGCCTCCGGTTGTTCAGTCCGGTAGTCATGACTATCAGGACGCATTATCCAAGTGTATCTTGTTCTTTGAGGGACAAAGGTCCGGTAAGCTTCCGGCGGACCAGAGGGTCTCATGGCGGGCAGATTCTGGCCTAGGCGATGGTTCGGCGAATGGGGTGGACTTGACTGGCGGGTACTACGACGCCGGAGATAACATCAAATTCGGTTTCCCCATGGCTTTCACCACCACAATGCTAGCATGGAGCGTCATCGAGTTCGGAGACATGATGCCCCCCGCCGAGCTAAGGAATGCTCTGGCTGCAATCCGATGGGCCACGGATTACCTTCTCAAGACCATCTCGCAACCTGACCGGATCTTCGTTCAGGTAACGGCAGTGGCATTTTCTGTAAATTGTTGAGGATCGTGGGCCGGTAATATTCAATTGGGGTAAAACCAATAATATTAATGTGGGCCTGGGTTGTGTTTGGGCTTTGGGGCGTAGCCAAACCAACCCGTGAGAGGAGAGGAGGGGCTACGTGTTGCTATTCTTTGCCACCGGTTGTCGCTTATTGACTGTGGGTCCCGTGGTCTCTTTGATCAAAGATTTATGATCGTTTTAATCGGCTTTCCAGCGAAAAAGGGCAAGGGTAGTACTAGTGACGTCATATTTTCTAATTAACAGAAGATGATCTTCATCTTCCTCGTGTTTTAAATTTTAAATTTTAATAGCCTGTCTCTCCTTCCCAGTCCCAGAGTCCCAGCTCATAGCATCAATACCATTCAGTTGATAGTCGATACCTGAACCAAACCCGATGGAACCGGGCCAGAAAGGACCCTCTCTCCCTCATAAGAAGAAGTGGGCCTGGCCGGAAGTTGTACCATGATTTACAGAAGACGAACAGTTGCCTTTCTTCTTGCCTATGCTTGCCACCTGGCAAGGAAAAGACAGGCAGTGGCGGGACTAGGACCCACATCTTGATTGCTAATTTCATCATGATTAGTGGTGGGATTTATTAATTTAGGGCAGCAGTCACGCGTACCTCTGAAAACTGCGGATTCACTTCACAGATTCAGAATCCACTTCTCCGGATGAGCGGAGCGGTCCGGCCTACGAGGCCCAGACCGGCAGAGAGTTTTAATGTAACTAATTTGGTTAAATCTTTTCTCTTGGGATGTTTTTCTTTTTTAGGTGGGGGATCCGCTCGTGGATCATAACTGCTGGGAAAGACCGGAGGACATGGACACGGCTCGAACTGTCTACAGTGTCGATTCGGTAAACCCTGGTTCGGATGTGGCGGGTGAGACTGCCGCAGCTCTGGCCGCCTCTTCCATGGCGTTCCGGTCATCTGACCCTGCTTACGCCGAGACGCTCTTGAGGAATGCCATCAGAGTCTTTGAATTCGCAGACAACTACAAGGGAGCTTACAGTGACAACGAGAATATTCGATCCGGGGTCTGCCCCTTCTACTGCGACTTCGATGGATATCAGGCAAGAAGCCATTCCCTACCTCTCCAATCACACATGCACTGCCACGCACAAAAAGTAATAGAATTACTTGGACTTAGGTGCTTATATTTGTTGGGTCGGATGGGCTGAATTGGATACAACCCGGCCGGAAATTAAATCTTATTCTCAACCAAAAAACTCAGTCGGGTCAATCGATATAAGGATTGTTTCACAAGTACCAAAAGCATCCCCCAGCTCCATTAATGAGCAATGAGTGAGTGATATGGGGGTGTTTGCAGGATGAATTGCTGTGGGGAGCAGCGTGGCTGAGGAGAGCCTCTCAAAGTGATTCCTATCTCAACTACATAACCAACAATGGCAAGACCCTCGGCGCTGAGGACAATATCAACGAGTTCGGGTGGGACAACAAGCACGCTGGCCTTAATGTGCTCGTGTCCAAGGTGAGTCTCAGCACTCAGCAGCTCCAAATATTGATTCTGTGCAACGCACCTACAAATAGGTAAGCCTATGCAAGGTTCTGATTTTAAGCTTTTTCGCGATTGCCCCATCAATCTAGGAATTCCTTGAAGGGAGCGCATACTCTCTTCAATCATACAAGGTATCCGCAGACAGTTTCATGTGCACGCTCATACCGGAGTCATCGTCGTCGCACATCCAATACACTCCAGGTGGGCTCATCTACAAGCCTGGAGGGAGCAACATGCAGCACGTGACCTCCATCGCTTTCCTCCTCCTCGTCTACGCTAATTACCTGTCCCGAACATCACAGACCGTTAATTGCGGGAGTATATCCGTCGGGCCCACTTCTCTCCACCAGCAGGCCAAGAAGCAGGTAAATAAAGTAGGGGTTTGCATTATCGGGTCGGGTCACTGGAAGTACCAACCAAAAGGCCCATCATCATTTATTGCTTGTTTATTGTGTTTAATGTGATTGTGCAGGTTGATTACATACTAGGTGATAACCCGATGGGCATGTCGTACATGGTAGGGTACGGCGACAAGTACCCGCAACGTATCCATCATCGCGGCTCATCGTTACCGTCCGTGAGGGATCATCCTGAGTTCATCGCGTGTAAGGAGGGATCCGTCTACTTCAATTCGACCAACCCAAACCCGAACGTTCTCGTAGGCGGCGTGGTAGGGGGACCCGGAGAAGATGACGTCTATGAAGATGATCGGGCTGATTTCCGAAAGTCCGAACCGACTACCTACATCAACGCTCCATTGGTGGGGGTGCTCGCTTACTTTGTTGCTAACCCGAATTAAAGTGCCTGGTCTATACTTTATAGTCTACATTAATGTACATAGCTGATCAAATCGGACAGAAAAGCACAGCAAAGAGAGAAGAATAAAAAGAAGTCAGAAGACAGTCTCTCATCTTGTGAGAAACAAAGAAGGAAGAGGCTTGTTACGTTAGCGGAAGTGGAAACCGACATGCATGTATAACTTACAAAATATATGTTATTGGTTGTTTGGTTGGTTGGTTGGAAGAAAAAAACATTAAAGAAAAAAAAAAAAGAAACAGAGAGTTACAAAGGTTTGTTGTGACTTGTGAGTGAAAAGGGAGGTTGGGTTGTCAAATGCCGGATATACCCTTGGTGTCATTTGGGGTATTATAATTTTGTGCAGTTTTTATGTGATTAATAGAAAGGCTGTTTGTGTCATTTGGTTTAGTGGGGACAGATTTTCATTCCCGTTCTGATTTGACTACTCTTTATCTTGGCAAAAGAATGGTCAAATTGGGAATTTGGTGTGATTGTTCTATGGCTGTTTTTTCTTTGTCGAAAGACTCGTGTCGGTATTGTGACAGGTCACAGAACAATAAGCATCTGCACGAGAGCCACTAATGGGCTAATGGCGTTGGACGGTTCTACCCTTTCATCTTCATGTATATATATGTATTGAGCGTTGGGCTTTCTAAGAGGTGGAACAAGGAAAAACTTTGGCTGTATTGGTCCATCAACCAGAAGTCCAAATCTGTGTCCGCACATTTCATACACAGTGGTTATCAGTTTATGGTGAGATGTAGTGGAGTTTGTTGGAATTAATGTTGTTCCTGCCAAATGCGAGTCGAGGGTAATAACATAATTTCCGGTGTTTGAGGTCAACGGGTCTAAACTGTTGAGAGAGAAGGAGATGTCAAAGGCACCGGAGGTATATCAGGGGCAGAGGCTCCTATAGTAAAGTTTAGTCGAGAGTTATGAGGGGTCAGATCAAGATAGAAAGGTGATTTAAAGATCAAGATAGAAAGGTGATTTAAAGTTTAAGTTTTAGCGTTTGACTTCAATGTGGGAGCCTTTTTTATAGTTGGAGTTGCTTAAAAGGAGTAATTGGGTGTAGGTGGTGGTGGTTGGCAGTGGTTAGTGATGGATGGTTAGGATGGGTTTGGCTGACGCCATGTGTCAGGGTCTGTGGGATGGTCGGGATGCATCTAATCGATGCCACATGTTGAGATCTACAGGTCGGCTAGATACCCTACATCACTTACCCCCACTCTCGAGGCCGTATCGATCGAGGTTAGCTGGTGGATTACGTTGAGGCCTCAGCTTCGACCGAAGAGAGTATAGTATTTGTGTTGAGGCCTCATCTTTGGTCGAAGAGCTATTCTAAGCGGCTTATGCGGCACTTGCTCCTCCGTTCACCATTTGTGTCATTGAAGGACCATCTCAGGTCGAGGGGACGTGATCGTGGCCCATGCGGGCATAGGATGTCCGTGTCCGTTGTCTGTGCCTCGCACGGGCGTTGATGTCACTTGTCATATGTTCGTACACAAGACGGACGTCGTGTGCCCGTATGCAGGACGGGTGTTGGGGTTGACTGAATGAGGTCATGCACGAGACGATGCATGGGGTTCGGTTCGGCATATTCTTAAGCTAGAGTCAATGGGCAAATTGGCCCCATCTCTTGGCATCGCTTCGTCTCCCGAGGTTGGTGCCACATGGAGCCCATCAGTTCGAGTTGTTAGATTGACAGGTTCGTGGCCGTTGGATCAATTGGATCTGAGTCGTACATTTTTCTTTAACCAGGGTGGTTGGTTGAGCAACTCCCCACCATTTGCTCGAAACCTTATGCCTGAGAGCTACTGAGGACACTTAAGTTATCAATAATCAACCCTTTAAACTTTCTTTAACAAACATCTTTAGGTAAAGGATTCATGTCCTCAACATGTTGGCCTCGGATTCTGGTTATGAGACTTATAACCTCTTGCCCTCGGAGGGGGACTATGGTAGGCTAAGCGCCCGCCGTTGTCCTAGTTGGTCGCAGCGCGACGGTGTGGATGATCGTGATTCTTGCGATCAGAATGGGACCCTTGGTTGGGGAGCCGAGGTGTTTTGGAATGATGCTTGCTAGCTCGTCAGCTGCTACTGTCAAAATCCTAGGGGTTGACCCCTTCCGGGCCCCCAAGCATTGGCTTAGCGGGGTTTGGGCGGATCGCCACTGCATTGTCCATGGCTTCTATTGGGGTGGCCACCCTATGGGTCGCTTCTTTCTGGACACCCTATATAGTCCAATTGCTGGGCTAAGTTGTCCAGCCTGTTCAGGACCAGCTCGAACTGGTCGATTGTGACTAAGTTCCAGACATCAAGGACAGGGTCTTGTTAGTGATTTCAGGGACACTAGTCAATTAAATTAGGTTTGTTTTTTTTCTTTAGGCCACGTTTGCTTGGGGTGGAAAATCGAATTGGAGTAAACTTTACACCCGGTTCAATTTTCCACATGTTTGGAAAGCGTATAGTTTTACACCGTAAATTGATGTAAAACTGATTTTTGAATTTTTTTTACATCGATAATCGATGTAAAATATACATCGAAATTATCGGTGTAGTTTTACAATGTCTCTTTTTCTCTCTCTCTCTCTCTTCTCCTTCTCTCTTCTTCTTCTTCCCCCTTTTTTTTCTTTCTCTGTTCTGTCACCGCGCTGCAACTAGCGGTGGATCTGAACCCACCTCCCATGTGTCTCTCTTTCTCTCTTCTCCTCCTCCTTTTTCTTCTTCTTCTTCCTTTGCTTCCCTCATTTGTGTAAATTTTCACGGAATTTACACCTTGACAACCAAACATGGTCGGTGTAAATTTTCAAAATCTACCGGTCCCAATTTCCACCGATAACTAAACCGGTTCACATTTTCCATTGGTGTAAAACTGAATTTACACCTAAAACAAGTGCATCCTAAGGGAAAGTCTTGAAGATGTTTCTATGGACAACGCCAATTGTTGTTGCCAAATGTGGAGCCGAGGGCAACAACTTAATTTCCAGTGTCTGAGGCTGATGGGTCCAACCTGTTGAGAGAAAGAAAGATGTCAGAGGCTCCGGGAGGTATCCCAGGGCAGAGATTCTGATGGTCAAATCAGCCGAGAGTTGTGAGGGGTCGGATCAAGCTAGAGAGGAGAGTTAAAGCTTAAGTTCTAGCGTCTCTTTACCTCAATATGGGAGATCTTTTTATAGTCAGAATTGCCTAAGAGGAAGAATAATTGGGAGCAGGCGGCGGCGGGTGACAGTGGTTGGTGATGGGTGGTTAGGATGCATCCAACTAACGCCACATGTCAGGATCCACGGGATGGTCAGTATGCATCCGACTGGCATCACATGTCAAAATCTATAGGTCGGCCAGATACCCCTATATCAAATGTCTTATTTTTTGTTGGGAGGGAATCCCGACTCGAATTGATGGCTTTATCTGGTTGTTCTTAACTTCCAATTAATTCCTATAACATTTAGGATCTGCTGCTCTTATCATAATCTACGAAACCACAACCCCTTATTCAATGAAGGGGATACCGTATATAAAGCTGACAATGCATCACATTAATTTCATTATTTTGAACTCTCTATGGTGCACGGGTGTTGTTAAAAGAAATTGTGAAAAGAACTTTATGATAATACCAATTGAGTCAAGTGGTATCAAGTCCAGCCCAAACTATTTTTAAGTTACATGTTACAAAAATTTGTGTTAATTTTTATTATTTATCCTAATTTTTACATTTAGAGAGGAGTGTTTAGGATATTTCTAATTGGGCCAAGTCGACCCTTATTCATCTTAGCATTATTCCTGTATTATGTGTTTTTTAATAAATTAGAAAAAAAACAAAAAATTTATAAGGGATTAGGGAGAGGGAGAATTAGTTTTTTATTAAGCTAAATTAAAAATATTTTTATTTAGTTTAATTAAATTATGTTTTTATTAATTTGTATCAATTTTAAATAATAAAATACTTTTATTAAATATTAAATTTTATTTTTTATAAAATTAATTTTACTAAATTTAGAGTAAGTTAAATTATTTAATTTATTCTAATTAATAAGTTAATCATGTAAAGTAAGTTGATGTTTTGTTATTTTCCCTTATTTATATTTTTGTTACTTTTTGATTTTTTTAATAATTTAATAAATATTACTTTTAATATATTAAAAAAATTGTTATTATTAATGAAATTTTCTTTTCTTTTATTAATTAATTAAAAAGTTAAGTTTCTAATTTTTCTTGTTGTCTACCATTTTTTAGAAAATTTCCCTTACTTTATCAAAATTTTCTATTAATTAATTAACAAAATTGTTAGTAAAATTTTCTACTATCTTCCCTTAACTTTTTTATTTTTATTTTGAATGATATTTTTAATTAATAAAATTATTTTTAGTGAAAAAAATTCTTATTTGCTCTTTTTGTTTTCAAAATTGCATAATTGGGTTGAAATGATCAAATTAGATCGGCTAGTTTAGTTTGAATTGATAACTGAAGCTAGTGAGTCAGACAGTTTTAGGTATTCAAATAACTCAACCTATGAACTTCATATTCCGAATGTGAGTGATTTTTTTCCCCTAGTTCATTTGTTATTTTGCTTTTTTCTTCTCTTAGGAAATTGACAAGGTCGGGGAAACAACCTAATCCTTTTGATCTATCACTAAATGTTTCCAAAATTTATAGTAGTGGAATGTAAGACAAAAGAGACAATTCGTGTTGACAGAAATATTTTTATAAATGTAGTAGTGAAATTTTCACATAATTTATGTAAAAAAAATTGTTTAAATTTAATTAATAGTAGAATTAATATTTTAATAAAAACATATTTATTAATAGTGTTTCTAATATTTATTTTGAAGACATATTTTGTCAAAATTTACATAGCAGATTTGGCATACCAAACTTGATCAATCAAGATTGTTTAAATTGGTGACTAAAAATTTATATTTTCTTGACCTATCTTCTTAATATTGTGTTCTCCAAATTTTAGTATAAATACAAATAGTGATGTATGGGACCCAAAACATCCCATAGAGAGAGATAGATTTTATAATGATAATATTAAAATATTATTTATAATTAGAATCAGATGGTTTATTGGCATATGAGATAAATTAGGAGATGTTTTAAGAGGAAGATAGATTAGGGAAACTTTTAGAGAGGAGATGATTTAGGTGGTTGGGAACATGAGAGAGAGAGAGAGATTTCGGGAAAAATTTTAAGATGTAGATTCTTAATATTTGAATTATTGAAAGGAAGGAAGACAGGGTAAACCCCTAGTGACTTAGCTTAATGAAAGGGCTGGGATGAGGGAATAGAGGAATGATAGAAAGTTAAAGGAAAGGGAAAACGGAGAACAAGGGTAACGTGGACAATCTTGCTTTATATATAGTATAGATTCAGATGATATATTGAATAAAAAAAGG